TATATACATGCTTCTTTATGTTCAAGATGATTCAGCAAGCACCAGTTGTGACCGCCTTGGCGATGCGAATGAGATTCTGTTGCCTTCCGAAAGTTGTCAAAAGGAAGTGGAGGTACTCAATGCTGCTTTTACTACTGAAGTAAATGCTTACGTTCGCAAAGTGAGTGGAATGGAAGCTCGTATTCAGGAGCGACTTGCTGCGTACAAACGCTTTTTTGAAGAAAGTCACCCTTACCCAGACACGTCCGAATCTCATTTTTACTGGGTGGATTCTGAATGGTTGCGTCGCTGGGTGACGGGAGAGAAATATGATGGCTCCGATAGCTCGTTGTCACTCTTGTCTTGCGACACGTCGGATGTCAAAGCATCGTCGATTCAACGAGTATCAAAACGGAGCACATCTGACGAACGAGGAGGCGAGGACAGCGATGAAAGCGATTGCGTTATAGTTGATCCTTCTTATGCAGATGCTGCGACATCGGACGAGAAGAGCGACGGTAGTGTGTGCACATTGAATGGTTCGGACGCTAGTGAAGTCAGTCGTGCACGCTACGGCGATGGTGACGCGCACACTAACGCCCAGATGCCTCCGGCGTATTCATGTCGTCTGATTTCTAATGGTGCAGCTGTCACGACGAAAATGGCTGGGGCTAGCGAGTCGCGTGATGACGACATTCCCTTCATGGAGCCAGTTGACGTAGGACCTCTTTCCTGTGTGCACTCCCATGATCTCGACCTCGGCGCGAGGTGTCTCGAGGAGGAGCCCACCCGCCCTATTCTTCGGTTTGCACCTGATAATGCACCTAGGTTGAAGCGCATATCTGCCAAGTTTTTTTCCTACATAAAGGAAAGCTGTGGCGCTAAGCCATTCCCAGCACTTGAGGGCCACGCGCAAATGCGAGTGTTTGAAGCCCCTACATATCGGTGCATTGTTTGTGAAAATGATTTTAACAGCAAACTCGTGAAAGATTTCGACCGCTTGCGTGAAGTTGACGAAGAGCTTGTGCTACTAAAGGCAATCCCTGTAGATGCGAAGGCTGCAGTCGCTGCTGGAAATTACTATCTGATGAGCCGAGCGTGGTTGAAAAGCTATAAGAGTCATCTTCAGATGTTGCATAAAGAGCTCACTCGCGCAGTTTCACAAAGCAAGAAAGAGAAAATGCTAACATTTTCGAAGATGGATGATTTTTGTACGACGGGGAGAGATGAAGACGTCAATAGCAGTCATAGAATGAGTGGCGAGTGCGGCAAAATGGAAATGTGGCAAACACCCATCAACAAAGATATCACGTGCTTGCATGGCAAACTAACGTTGGAAAAGCGATTATATCGGCCAGTAGCGGCGGAGACATGGGCATACTTTAGCACTAAGTATCCATTTCATGCTGTATACGCTGCGAGAGCAACCGACTCGTGCCTGCAGTGCCAGATGGACGATGTGATCAATAAGAAGTGCATTGAAGTGGAGCGTGGTGTGCGTGACGAGGTAATATCAATTGCTGCTTTGGAGTCTTTGTTTCGCCGCAAGCCCGAAAGAGGATGTGTTCGACTAAGCGATATGTTAGATGTGACTGGTGCTCAAGGAAGCAGTGGATTCAAGAAGGTGTCGCCATGGATGCCACAATATCCAAAGAGGCTGCCTGGGCGGATGTTTTTGGTGTCTCGTAGCTGGATAACGCAGTGGAGAAACTATATTCGCAACGTGAGTGAAAATTTGCCGCTTAAGCTCTCATCGTTTTGTTTGTTGTGCATGCACCAAAAGTTGGTACTTTCCCCCGGCTTGTTGGCAGCACAAGGGGGACAACCCGTTGATGCAAGCTCGTTAGAAGTAGAATTCGTGACAAAGGAAGAAATGCGAGCGCTAGCTGAGCGTTATGGCAACCCCGAGATGCCATTATATTACGGGCTGCTTGTTGCTACTATCATTCCGGAGTCTGGCGAAGAAGAAACACATGTTGTCTGGCAAAAGTGCTCACTAGCCTCTTTACAGCTTGAAAACGAGCAACATTTGAGCAGCGTTGGCCGTCTTGAGGGCACAGTGCCCCTGGATTGTCATGATGCAATGAACGATACTATTATCTGCGTGGAATGTCAGGCAAACTCGGACCAAAGACACCGCAACGAGCTTGAAAATTTTACAAACCGCGTTGTCGACATCCAGCAGCTGCACGATGATCAAGCTGTACCAACAAGTGAGAATCTGACAATCGGTGTGAATGCGTCTGGTCGGCGACGTTCCCGACGTGTTTGTCAAGGTTCGGCGTGTGCGTGGCCGATAGTAGCCAACTCTACTGATACCGTGTACATACTCAAAGCAAAAATTTACGCTGAGATTGATGCGCTTCCTACGCGTCAACGTCTGTACTACAAGGGTGAACCCCTGGAAAATTTTCGTATGCTTAAAGAATTGGGGTGAGTTTGACCTACCATGGGGTTGATGAAGTGTTGTAGCTGACTTTTCTGTCACTCGTGTGTGATTAGGATTAAAGCCGGAGACGCTGTGTTTATGCGGTTGTCCGAAGACAGTGCTGATGATCTCGTAATGGAAGAGAGTCTAGAACGTGAGGTCGGTTTTCTGAATTCAGTCTTTCATTCGAACCCTTCGGTCAGCAGTCAAGCGGCGATCCCACCTGCAACGTGTGAAAATCGAGCTTTGGCTATTACGGGAAGTCATAGAACTCGTGTGTGGGTGTGTCCCGCCTGCACGTATGTCAACGATGACATCGACATAGTTTGCGAGATGTGCTGTACCACAAAAGATGGAAATTCGGGTCATCATGAAGAATGAACGCAATTTGGTACTGCGATAATTGTCATGTGGCGATGAGGTGTATGACGATCACGTGCTTTTGTAGGCAGTGTCGATATTGATACTGCAGCACATCCTGTACAATAACGACTTTTTAAATGTTTTGGAAATCGCAAGGGTTGAAGTCGTCATTCAGTCGAAAGGAGCTTTGGCCTACCATTCGTGGATTGTATCAAAATCCAAAGCCTAATTTTGTTCCGGTGCAATTGCTGGAAAATAGCTGCCGATTAAACTTTTGAACGTAGGTGGAATGGTTCTGCTGGACCGAGAGAAAACGAATTCGACACCGCCTTTGGAGTTGAGAGAACATAAACTGCAAAGGTTTCGGGATGGACGCACCGAGCAAAGTACTGTGAAGTTTGACGGTGGCATCTTGGTGGTGTTGCTAGCGAAGCCAAGAAGCGGGCTGTGCCAATAAATGCACGCGACGACGCTTGATAAGCGCGCAGAGATATTATGGTGATTCCATGGTAACGTTTGATGAGGCGGAAAGAACCAAAGCTCAGAATTCTTCATTGTCGTATTTCGCTGGCTGAATGAAGTTGTGATGACCTGAGTCGCGATCCGTGGTGCGGACACAAGAGATGGTGTTATCGTACATTCATAGCTTGCTGTTAGCATTTTGCGAGGCACGTTGTCGATCAGAGTTGATGCAATGTGGATACACGGATGTCGAACGGCCGGTCTTTTTCGTCTGCGCCTTGCCGTGTCGAGTTGATCAAATATTGCTGCAAGTACAGGAGTTGTCATCCAAGCATTTTTGTCATTGGCAAGTGTCGTTTGTTGAATCGTCTGGTGAGCATCGGCACGCAGATGTTGGAACCAGATGAGCTGCTCATTAGTATGGGTGTCCCGATTTGGTAGTCGCGTCGCAACGCGAGTTTGAAGCTGAGGACAAATGCTGTATAGCCAAGGCGACGAAATCGCAAAGGCCAAAAACTGGATACCGTTGTGCGTGCGAGAAATGGCCACTGGGATGGTAGACCTTGCCACCTAAACGCGTAGCTTCTAGCTTACCGAATCTCTCCCTCCAATTGCCTGTTTCCGACCTACTCCAGAAGCACGTCGATCCCTGAGTGAACTGTCTGGTTTTCCGAGTCATGTTGGATGGGTGTTTAAACGGACTTATTGATGGTCAAGAGTGGAGAACACTTAGTTTGCAATATGTCATAGCCACCGCACGCATTGTGGCGCCGACAGAACAGGCTAAACTCGATTGACAAGCAACCACGTGCTTCACGATGATGGCGATGTTCAGTGGAGCAGCCAAGATGATCTTCTGTCAGTGTGGCCGTGCACCAAGAAGCTGTCGGCAAGTCTGTTGCTATCGGGACATCCGGCTTGCATGCTCAATGAATCATAGTTTGTGATGCCCACCCCGTGGAGCATCCCGCTTTCTTTCATGCAGAATCGATGCACGCGCTTGCGCTGGTCGAAACGATGCTAAGCGCAACGTGCATCATGGCACCTGAGTTTCCCTACCATACAAGTGCCTCGCTGCTCTTACCATCTCACATGGCTGTCGCCAACAAAAGACAACCGCATCTCTCGTCTCACTTCATGTGCTGGACACTACTCACACGACATTGTTCGACCCGATCCTAACACCTTCTCACCTTTCTCGGACTGCCATCCTGATGAACCTCGGGTCATACATAGCCAAAGAAAACCCAGAGCTCGCACTGCTCACAACCGTCGCCCAGGCTTTCGTGCAATCGACAAAGCGATGGTTCATGCCAATCACCAATAAGATGACTGGCCGTCGTTCGCTCTCATCCAGCAAATACTCTCAAGCTTCCTCCTCGACACGTTCACACATCGACACGTAGCTTATCCACACCTAGGGACACTTCACACTCGTCCCGTGCAATCCAGCTCCTTGTCCTATCGCAACTTCCTCCATTTTACAATGCGTCTCGCAATGAGGCGTCACATCCAAAGGCTTCGACCTGCATCCTTCAGCACCACCAATACGTCGTCTTTAACGTATTCGTCCTCGCGCTTCCATCCTGCTGCATACGCAGCAATTGGAGGCGGTGCTGCCATGGCAGCTGTAGCCGCCTATAACGGCGTATCACCCCACGAGTGGATCATCCGACAGCTCATGGATCCGCTCATGCCTGTCCTTCGACTGTTCGACCCCGAGGTGTCGCACCAAATTGCAGTGCAGTGTGCACGCCTTGGCCTGACGCCGAAAGATTCGGCACTTGACCCGAAGCTGCTGCACGTCAAGGTGCTGGGCCTTGAGTTCACCAACCCGTTAGGGATCGCTGCTGGCTTTGACAAGGACGGAGAGGCCGTACAAGGGCTCGTGGACATGGGCTTTGGCGCCGTGGAGATCGGCAGTGTCACGCCCGAGCCACAGCCGGGGAATCCGAAACCTCGCGTCTTTCGCTTGTGCGAGGACCGGGGCGTGATCAACCGCTACGGATTCAATAGCAAAGGCCTCGAGTACGTCGGTACTCGTCTGGCCACCTACACGAGCACCCGAGAACAGGGCCAAGCAACTAGCAGAGACCATCGTGCGGGTGTCCTTGGGGTCAATCTAGGGAAGAACAAGGCGACAGAAGACGCAGCAGCTGACTATGTGCTTGGCGTGCACGCTCTTGGCCAGTACGCCGACTACTTGGTGGTTAATGTCTCGTCGCCCAACACCCCGGGTCTCCGTGCGCTGCAAGGGAGAGAGCAGCTGAAACAACTCCTCGAACGAGTACTTGAAGCTCGAGACGAGGTCGCAGCTACAGTGAAGCGCGAGATTCCGCTCCTCGTGAAGATCGCACCGGACCTGACGGAAGCAGACAAGCAGGATATCGCGAAAGTCGCTCTAGACCTCCAGCTGGATGGTCTCGTGGTTTCCAACACAACGCTGAGTCGACCTGAGACCTTGAAAGCAGCTGCCAAGAGCGAGGCGGGCGGGTTGAGTGGCTCCCCTGTGCGTGACTTGTCCACCAAGGTGCTAGGGGATATGTACAAACTCACGAAGGGCCGAATCCCGCTCATTGGCGTTGGAGGTGTCTCCACTGGCCAGGACGCTTACGACAAGATTCGGGCCGGAGCTTCGCTCGTGCAGATGTACTCGTGTCTGATCTACGACGGTCCTCTGGCGATTCCACGTGCTAAGCAAGAGCTGGCTGCGTTGCTGCGTCGTGACGGCTATGAGAGTGTAGTCGATGCTATTGGCGCTGCCCACAAGTAGATGATGCCGGATACAAAAAGAGAGCCACTGTTGCTGCTTCTCTGCTTTGGCTCCTGTTTCCCATTAGCCTGAAGTCTCACCATGCGCTTCTACAATGTCGCTGGACGAGTTCTGGTTCGTCGGAGGTGCGTTAGAGCGAGGTGTGTCTCGAGTATGAAGGAACAACTTGTTCACATCGTTACCGTTGGAGTGTTATTGCAGTTCCTGAAACCATTCTTTGACTTGCTTTGCTGCCTCGGTCGGTAGAGCATCAATCGTGTTTAGGCTCACATAGTAGGCGTTAGCCCTCTCTCTTTGGTTGAATGACAAGATGCAGGTGTGACCAATGTCATGACCTTGCTGCAGAGACGATGACGCCCTGCGATGGATCATCAAGAGTTGTCGTCAGTTCAATTGTCACTCGCGTAGCAAAAGGTGATCAGGACATCAGATGCTGAGAAAGCACTGAGTCCATCTGAATACATACGTCAATATGCATCATCGAGAGGTACTTCATGAACAACACAGTCGATACGATACATCTCACGACTTGACTGGTACTCCTCTACATGATTGAGCAAGCTAAATGTCATTCACTTCATTTTGAAGCGGTACCTGCTAGCACTTGACACCAAGTAATCGCAAATCAACAAACACGACGCGGCGTTTTTGGATGGGTGACTTATCGACTGCACATGGCTCCTCCGACCCACACTACTTTTTCGGGTGACAGATGTCGCGCTTTTTTTTCCATCAAACTGTTCACGGTCTCGACCAGTGCACCCCGGTTGGTTTTAGCACACGCTTCTTCTGTCTCCTTTCGCAGTGTCTCTCCTCCTTTCGCAGCTGCATGCTGTAAGGTGAAGCAAGCCTTGATAGCATGGAAGTGAGGCATGTCGTGGCTCATTGAGAGCGCGTTTCTACCACCATGGTGTACAAATGTTCCAAGACATTTGAAGTGTCTTTCCATCAGCGATACGGTGCGCAAACAGCGTTTCCTGCATCGACTTGACAACTTCTTTAGGTCCGTGTCTTCAAGCAGTTCTTCAGATAAAGCGCCATAACGCACGTTGTGACCGTACGGTGTTGCTTCCAGCAGATCTTTCACTGCACCTTCAAGGTACATGCTGTCACCCTTCTTCGGTCTGCTGAGCTCGACGAATCGCAGTCATATCTTCAATCCACCCTTCCAAGAGTGGACAACGTCAAGTGCTTCCTTGGAGTTCATCCCGTCTTGCTTCCACACCTCAGTACGTACCTTACGTAGATCATCGCTTCTGCCGCACAGTGTTTTCTGAAGATCGTCGGCGCGTGAGTTCATGTCAGGGCGGGACCGAAACCAAGGAAGGAACTTCACCAAGTGCACCAAGTCCTTATGCAACTTCGTCCCTATCAAGTCAGCGAGAATGCTGTTGTCCGACCTGGAACTTATAACACCCTTTCGAACAAGATCTTCCAACGCCTTGAGCTTAGCAGCGTTCAGGTCCGTCATGGACGTGGGCATTCGAATGTAGTGAAATGGTCGATTCCTGAACCACAACACCAACTCTTGTGCTCGCGCTCGAGACAAAGACCAGTTAAAAGCTCTCTCCTCCTCGCCCTGCTCGGCAAGTTCGGCCGTGTCCTCTGCTCTGACTACACAAATCCATGTTATCATTCTTTTTGAGTCGTGAGTTGCTGTCGATTTGACACATGACAGATGAGAGCGGTACGTAACACCTTGTCCTGCGCCGAGTGAGCTCCAAGTACGCAATTGATATTCGACGAGAACCACGACCTGCTCGCGTCTTCACCTATTTCTTTCAAAACGGAAGTAGGCGTGCTCACATTGGATGTGTCACCGCCGCCAGTACTACATTTCTATGAGTGGATGTGGGGTGGTGCAGTTCTCGATGAAGAGATGAACGGCGCTAGTCTGCATGCAGGATTGCCGGACGGAATTACCCCCACAAGGAGCGAGACGATCCCAAAGGCCATTTAAACACTCGAGTGATTGCGGGTAGTGTACAATTACGCCATTAAGATCAAATACGACAGTCCGTCGTCACGAGGTGACTGAGGAGCTAAACGGCAGTATTGCGGTCGCTGCTATTGACATTATTGCAAAAGTGCCTAGTGCTCATGATCGTGCTGTCTCTTAAGCTCTGCTCGAAAGTCTTCGGATCCTTTGCAGCGCAAAATCGTTGCCACGAAATTCGCTTCTGGACGCAAGCCGAGCTCGGTCATCTCGAGTGCACTGTAGCACAGCCGCGTTTGCAATCGACTGTCGGATTGAAAGTCGCCCGAACATGATGGCGCCACGTCATCAAGCACCACGTCAGCCTTGAGTCTTCTTAGTGCTTCACTCAGCTGTTCCTCACTCTTGCATGGCAAAGATCATCCACGAAAATAGCTATGCCTCCCACGAGTTCAAGCTGCTAAAGGTCTACGACCACAACTTTCGGTAGTGAATTCCGAGTCTCCGCCCTCTTACGGGCCGTCAACAATCGCCACATGTGGCGATTGTTGACGGCCCGTATGTGTAGTGAAAGTGTGTAGAATTTGAAAATGCGATTTAGTGATAGTGGGGCTTCGAGGACAGCTTGACCGAGCAGTAAAGGCGATAGACTAGAAATCTATTGTAGTAACTCGCGTAGGTCATAATCTCACAGCTGTCGGACACATTTGGTCGTTAGGATGCTGATAAACCACACACAGGCAGCTGGCGTCTGCGCCCGATGCTTTGTCTTGCCTGCCAAAATTACGATTGGAGTGATATGTGTCTCGCTCACGGTCCCGTCACTTGGCATCCTTTCCAAACATTTGTCTACCTTTGGACGCCAAAATGCCATCACCAATACCCTTGGTTCCAGCCCAGTAATCAGACCGGATGTGTGTGCCATCTACTGGGTGAAGTTTCAAAGCATCCTTGCTCTAGAGGATTCACTCATGTGAACGGGCCCACTTAGCCACAAATACGCGATAACATATAAGGAACAAAGCTCATCGTGTGTAGGCGAGGAAAAGTTTGTACATCGACAGACACCAAGTGGCAAAAAATTATAATAAAAAACGATAGTCCATGGCTAAGAGATCTCTTGGATGGTCATCAGCGACCACTTTCAGGTAGCACTACGTTTGATAGATGAATGTGGCGTGTTTCCAAAGGATGTGGATGGCCTTTAATTTGATGTCCCTACTATCCTCGATCCACTGCGTGTCGAAGCCACGCAGCCATATTTGGAGGCCTAGGAGGAGTAGACTATTATGAGCCAGATCAGGCTCGCTGCATGAGCGTCATCCAAACATCTTCATCGGCCGCCATCTCCGAAACTCACCACATAAATCCTTGAATCATCGGGTGGACTGAAAGACTGAAATGCGATGATGTTTGCGATACCAATGTTGGACCTGCTCAGTCGTGCTATGTAACTCGGATTTTCTAAGCTAGCTTATACCAGTGGCACCTTAACGGAGGCGACGAGCAGAAGATCCGGATGCATGGGACCCCGGCGAGACCCGACAATAAATACAGCCTGTATTCGTGTCCACTGAAATACGTACCGAAATGGGATCATGATTTCAACGATAAGACGTAATGTTTGCCAAAGTTAGGGGGTGGATGGTGATGCGGCTGTCTGCTATCATTCCAGAGCATGTGGTCCATTTGTATTGTTCGCATGGTGCAACGTTATTCACTGCTGTCGATTGGCCATATGTTAGAACAAATGCCAATTATGACTCAAAAGTAAATGATTATATATGTATTTGTATAATTGGAAACAGAGTTGGACACAGGTTGACAATCAGGTGGAAGTGTTAAAAGCGTCCCATCATTACATGGCCGACACCAATCAAAACATCTTTTCTATGCCTCCGGGATGCCTTCAATTAATGACACTGCAACCAGCGACAAGATGGCCGACGAGCTAAACACTACAGGAGGAACTACTTACAAAAGAATGTGATAAAGTATAGACACCAAGGATGTCGTTTTTGCCAAAGCGTGTCGAAATGGATTAGCACGGCGTATAGACATTTACAGCCAGTATCAAGTGCGCATGGAATGTGTAGTGGAGCTACAAAGCTCTTAGTCAGAGGAAGACTTACGACTTTAAAAGTCACTTAGTTCTACGGAGCTAAGATCCTATGAATTAAAGAATCTTTAGTTCAAGAAACTAATCAACAAAGACTCGGAGAGTCTTTAAGCCCGTAGAGCGTCTAGTCCTGGTTCTGTGGACTAAAACTGACTCTAGGGATTTTGCGCAAAATCCTCTCGAGTATACGACTCAAGCTGGCTCTTACTCGTAACGATCTGCTGACGTCTAAAATCGACACGTGTCAAATTAATATCAAATCGGAAACTGAACTTACATTTTCTATTTTTATCTGTAACTAACTCACTACGCTACCTAACACTGAGGTTAAACTGATTCGCATGGTTATCGTCAGTACATTTAATATAGATACTGGTACATGAATCTGTCATCAATGGATGACTATTTGCTATCAATCACATTAATCATTGCCGATAAAGTCAGGATTGTATACCACACAAACTAGGTGATTTCCTTTAATACGATAACGGACATGTGACCCGATACGGAAGGCGTTCATTTTGAAAGGCCTCTACAAAAATCCACTTACAACATCCAAACGATGTAATCAAGATTTTTCTAGAGTTATCTGCCCGTGCAAGATAACCATTTGGTCAAGGAGCGGTACTCATCAATCGAAAGTGCCGTTTTTTTGAACATCTATAAGCAAGCGAAGTGGCATAGGTTTGTTTCCTGCATCAATACGAACCAGACGAGCGCCAAGTGTGGCTTACAAGGGTTTGGATTGTAGCCAGTGAAAATTTGCACCATGCCCGAATCTTGTGCCACTGACCTGACAAACTAAACACGTGATTTGCGTGCCTTACACTACTTTTTAATTTAAGACCCCATAAATTACACAACAAGAGACAGAATAACCTGATTTCCTTGCGAGAAGTTCGGCACTATATTATCAGATAGTGCAGCAAAAATTTGTAGAACAATTATATACACGATTCTCAACTAAAATTAACGAGCAACTGGTCAATCTTGTGCTGTACCTATGCATCTTCGCTACATTTTCTCTCCTTTACTACATCGCGTTTTGGAACAGATCGATCTAAAGTGGTAAGAGATTACGTCATTCGTGACACCAAGCGATAGAAGTAGTAGAATGTTTCATTACAATAGATACATATAAACGCGTTTGAGCCTTACCGCCTTCTCCCCTAATGTTTGCATCACGTCCATATCTTCACTCCTGGATGGGAATGCCAGCATTCAATCATAGAACCATATCGTACTTACCATCTGTTTTTATAACAAAAGGTAGAGAGTAGGTACAATAAATCATATAGCTCGTCACTCTAGTGGCAGACTACACCTGGGAATTAACCACTGGCAGTGGCCAAGACCATTCAAGCCCAGCTAGTCAGTCATTTTTGCCACGTTCATGGCGTTCTTAAGATCCTGCTTGTTTGCATCCATCATCGGTTTTTAATTATGCAGCTCTTCCTTGCCCAAGAAGGTGTGCATCTCGTCATGAAACGCTTCCTCACAATCGAGATTGTTCTTGTTGACCGCAAAGACTAGGCTCTTTGTGTTTCGGTAGTAGCGGCGCCAAAGCAGACGTTTCTTGTCCCGCTCACCGACGGCTTTGACCGTGAAACTAATAATCCATTACTCGACCGCCACGACGCTATTTCCACCACCGAGTCAGCACCACATAATTATTTAAATTGCTGTTCTAGGACAGCTACATAATTAATAAACAAGCACTACGGAAAGCATCTATATTGTAACGGAATAGATCATTACATGATATTAACACCAAACGGTGTCAATAGGGATATTGTCTAGTTTGACGATATCCTTTCAATTTTATCAGAAATGGATCTTATTGGAGGAATGTTATCCCCTTTTAGGTAACATTCATGCACTGCTCGAAGAATGGTTGATAAAAGACATATCAACCATAGATTGCCACCAATCGCAGCTAGACGCGCGCAATGAGTGGTGAGCAGGTATTCATCATACGACGGCGTAGTTTAATTTAGTTAGATAAAGATTGAAGTTATATTGATATCTTAACTATAATAAATACAAATCTCTCTTTACCCTTTACTCAGCACAGTTATTAAGTAGATTAGCTTCCTCTGCACGTCCTAGTGTACGTAAAGTTTGGTGGCACCCAAACAAAGGGTGCCTCGTTACACCTGGTAGCACTTTGCAGTCCGTCCAACGACTACTTAGTGTCCGTCCAACATGAACTCATTGAACGTAGAAGATGACAGCTTACACGTCACACGTGAAAGCTACTCCCACTTGAGTGACTTAGAATGGGAGGTAGCTGGTCGCATGAGTGTGCTCGTGGGCGAACCCGCCATCAGTAGGATGTCGGAGTCTCTAAGCAGAGACCAACAACGCAACGCTATCAACGAGTTCCTACAAGGGAAACTTGGTTTCATAAGACAGGAGATAGCCTTGCTACAGCAGCAAGGCTCTCATCATTCGATAGGCGGACCGAAGCGCATGCGTTGATCTGAAACCTGGAAGACATATATCTCAAGGTACAAGAAAAATTGATGAAGATTTCCTTTGAGATGGTTCGTCAAGTTAGACGACGCCATCAAGGCCCGTC